AAATTTAATAGACTCCTTTCAATTTTTATCTACATATGGGAGAGCAAGCGAACAGGTGGAGACGATGTGAGGGGCTCCCACGTTGCGCGATCGAGTTTCGCGAGTACCCCTTACTATGTTTTCGGGCATCATGCTACGTACGGTTGTCTTAATCGTTATTTATAAAGTGGTTCGCTACGTGGCGTTTTAAACGGAGTTTTGTGCGATGCTCGTGATACGGGGGGATATGCGGTCGAGTCTGAATTATTAAAGCGCTACAATGGCTGATGAATGGGCGATTCAATTCACTGGACGTTTCGCACTGGACGAATCCGCGATATATCGGCATTAGCATAATAATCTGCGGCGCCCTCTTTCCCACGGCCCAGCCTTATTGTTTCGCATACATGCATGTGAGTACTACTAAGAATTATTAGTTCTTATTGTATTATATGAAATAATAATAAGCAGTATACTTAGAGGATTCTTTCGGAATAACTTTTGCCGACGACTTTGATTGGATGATATTCGTTGTCTATTTCATCATGTTTAAAAGCGGTAAGTATATTGTACATATTGATTAATTGCTTAGATATGTTTTTTAATATAAATATCTTATAAGCATAGTGTTAAATGAAAAACAAAACAAATAGAAATATTACTATTACAGTTTATCAAAAGTTTACTATTGCATAGAACTCTTCCATAGATTGCGCATAGGGGGGATATTCCTCATAATTGGCACGACACCAATTGGCGGCTGGGTTGCTAGCCGCAGTTTCTTATTAGTTGTTATTAGAAAGACAGTGCTGCCCATCTCCTGATTTGTTTCCCTCTAAGGATGACCCCTTACTACATTGACACTCACAGAATGCCAGCGTGAAATGGTTAATATGGCTTAGTGCTGCTATGTTTCGTATGGTGAGTGTAGAGAACCGTAGACCCTTTTTACTGGAAATGAGGCATTCCAGCTTGGTCCACACAGGTGACAACGCATCTGCATATTGATTTGTAATCGAGGATAGATGTAGATGTCTATGGGCCGCAGCAACCACTTACCATCAGGTGGACTGTGTGCTCGTTTATCGCCCAATCGTATAAAAAAAACCTACGACACCCCCGGGGTAGTAGATGTTCTTACATCGCTACTACATGGTATAATACCGTATGTTAGTCAATTCAAATTAGATTAATAGACAGTCCAACTAGATTAGATAAATTTACACCAAAATATATCATGGCATAAATAATAAACTATTACCTTGAAAATTTTTAATCGACATATAAAAGAAATATTTCTGGTCATTTTATTTAAACAAGTCACATCTTACAACAAGTGTTATATTTGAGATTTGTAGCATGCGGTTAGCATTTATACATTTATTTTAAAAGTAATGTTCACTAGGCAATTGGGAAGACACTGAAAGTATGTGAGTTTTGTATAAGTACGTGTTTCGTACGTGATTTGTGAGCATTTGGATTTTGCTACTCCTTTTACCACAATTTTATGAGCGTCAACACCCGGCTGTTTTATAGGCATTTGTTGTTACGACATATTCAACTGAAAATTTATTTTGTCTAAAGTAATGTTGCAAATATTAGTTAAATCATTTTAATATACTTTTATTTAAACTCATTTACATACTACGGCTTAGATTTACGGCCTAGTAAATTATAAGGTTAATGCATTTTGTTGGCGGCATAAAAGAATCTATTAACCAAATCAAAGATACGTGGTAGAGCCATGGTGCAGTTATATTAGAAGTATAGTTGTAGCACGAATGGGTCGGCTCGATCGGGGAATGATCACGCTCTCACACTATACCAGCGTGAAATGAATCTTAATGCTGCTGTATTTCATATGGTGAGTGAACCGGAGACCTCTTTAACTGAAAACGAGGTATTCCATCTTAGTCCTCAGGGGTGATAACCCATCTGCATTTTGATTCGTAATCGAGGATAGATGTAGATGTCTATGGGCCGCAGCAACCACTTACCATCAGGTGGATTGTGTGCTCGTTTATCACCCTATCCTATAAAAAAAAGTTAAGACATCCACATACAGCCATTTGTTGTTGACTTACCACGCATTCGAAACAAACGGTTTGCTACGTCGTTCGTCATGCGTATAGCAAAGGAGTGGAATAAGTTGCCAGCATCTGTCTTTCCATCAGATTACAGTGTGGGTTTCGAGGCAAGGTGTAAGTAAGTTAAGTCAGTGCGCTTTACGTAATCGCGTAATCGAGGATAGATGTAGATGTCCATGGGCCGCAGCAACCACTTACCATCAGGTGGACTGTGTGCTCGTTTGTCACCCTATCCTATAAAAAAATCATCTCGCAGGTGTGGTAAGACGTGACAAAAGAAAACGAAACAAGAGATAGGCAGGAGCATCTTCCTGATTACAGCTCAAAATAATAATAAAACTGCGGCTGTCTTCCCACCTGCCTACTTTTTTTAAAAATAAAACTGAAAACGTTCAATTCACCTAATGGCCACCTATTTGGCTACTACAATCCATAGGCATCTACACCCAACTTTAAACAAAGGTAGCTTCAGATGCGTTGTCATATTTAAGGACGATGGAATGCCTCACAGCCTGTAGTTCTATTGAATTCCTCTACCCTTCTGACCGGAACACAGCAGTACAAGCACTGCTATTGGCACTGCTGTTGCTATTGGCGACAGAGATAGGTAAGCGGAAGCTATTCCTAGGTAGAAAAGAAGTTCTATCACCTAGTGAATCATCCATTAATTTTATCATCATCACACTTTAAATTCTTCATTAGTTTCTTCTTGAAATAGAAGCGTAACGCTGAGTAATGAGAACTGGAGGCCCTTTTTACTGGTAACAAGCCATTGTATCTCAGTTCTCAGGGATGACAACGCATCTTCATACCATCAGGTGACCTGTGTGCTCAATTGTCATAAAGAGTAGCTAATCTTTTAATATGATTTACTAATAACATATTTTAGACTGATGATTTTCATTTATGGCACAATATTATGTTAAATTTAAAATCGTTAGTAACAATTACGAAACAAAAACTAGCTATTTGTGCTAATGCAAGAATGGGCTTTTGCAGAGATTCCAAATCTGGACTCAGATTTATGAATTCAATATTATGACTAACAAGTCATGTGGTTATTTTAAGCCCAAATAAAATAATCTTTTTTTAAGTTAATAATTAATTAATTTTATTTAAATTAGATAAAAATCAAATTAAAAAATTAATAGAGAGAAAACGTTTTCGTGGTATATAGATAAGTACATACATATGTTACTTTTAAGGCACAGCGTAGTTGTAGGTGTGATAAACGTAGCACGTTTATCACACCTACAGTAGTAACCGCTACACCAAAGACATCTACAAGCCTACAATTGCTACGCCAATTCGTAGTTAGCGTAGCATTTTTATCGTCCGCTCTTATGGAGTATGTTCCGAAACGTTTTCAGTATACTGCCGAATACAAATAACGTCATCAATTGACACTATATTGTACTGACGTGCCGCCGCCATATTGTGTCGGATATCCGGCCATAATAAAACAATTTATAATTGTGTGTGCGCTGAATGAAGCATGCCAGAATTTGTTTTTATTTATTCAAATATATAGAATAATTGGTATCTCAATTAGGAGGATATAATGATTTTTGGAGCACAAAATGACAAAATAATCGCCAACACTTTTCCAATATGGCGCAAATGTATGACGTCATATACTGTCCTATGTTTTGGAATGAATCATTAGTATGTATTGCATAGTACACTAGGTTCTATTTTGGAACATACCCATGATGATCATAAATCATGCTTCTGTCAAATTATTACTGTAAAATATTTTTGGTATAAAGTTTGATTTAGGTGACCCTTGCATATGACGAACGCGAAGCGAGAAATGTCGAGCTTTACTGTCAACTTGACAAGATCGCGCTTCCCGCTCTTATAAAATTTTGTACTCATTATTAAATGGATTTTGATATTGTTAAAAAATTAAAAGTTATTAATATTAAGATATACTCGTGTATTTTTATTCTTTTTATTATATTATTATACATTTTTGCAAAAAAAATTACTTGTTTGAATTTGTAAGTGATTACAGTAGCACATGGACAGTTGCAAATAACTTTAAATAAACAAGACATCCGGTGCGTGGTCACTTGTCACCCTGAGGGACAAGATACAGAGAATATATACAAAAAGCACTATGTTGTAACAACCTATATTAAATAAAAATTATTCTATTCTATAATCATAGGCGAAACGAATATTTTATTTAAAAGATGAAGAAAGGTAATGTGTAATTCGTATAAAAATAAATGTCTCAGAGTAATTACAAAAAATATTTTGTATTTTAAATTGACAAATATATAAAATACTAAAAGAAGTCCATTACTACTACTACTAATATACTAAAAGAAGTCCATTTTTAGAAACCTACTATAGTTTTCATATCTTACAGTGTCAAAAAATTTTTATTTATTATTATATAATTTAATTGTCTATGTTGTTTTATATTAGAAGAAGAGTGTGATTTAAGTTTTAGAGTTTTTTTCATTGTTTTTTTTGAGACCAAGTTTACTTACTACTACATTTTACTAACAGCTTTGTTTGAATAAATGACATTGAGAATGTCAAAAATCATATTCTTGTTATAACTGAAAGAAGCTTTTTAATCAATTGTTTGGCAATATTGGATAGTTTTCACCCAAAACTCTTCAAATGTATCATAATATCTATGTATAAAACTTTATTGCTATCCATTAATCTCGCTTAAACTCAAAAACGGCTCGAGCGGTTTAGATGAAAATTTTTGAGAGTTTAAATGGATCCCAAGATGGTTTAGATTTTTTTTTAATTTAATTTAATTTGGATTCAATTTTAATTTTGTTATTTTATGTTATAATTTAGAATTTAATTTTAATTTTGGATCCAGTAGATGACGCTGTTTCTGAGATCCAGAAATCACCCGTGCGAATCCCTGAAGGATCGATAGTATTATAATAAATATTCACTTACATTGTTAGAAATTTTAGGCTTGCCGCTGTTGTTCTTGTTCTTGCTAAACCTTGATGGTGGCGTGGCTGGCGCGGGCGGTGTACCCGGAGGGCTGCTGTCACTGCTACCACCGCTCCCGCTTCCGCTTGTGCTTGTACCATTCGACTTATCTGAGCCGTTGCTTAACTGTGCCGACAAAATGGCGCGAGTCGGTTGAGTGTTTTATGTTTCAGAGTTTTGCTTTTAATTACCTAAGTTTATCCTCTAGATAAATGTTTCTTAAAACCTTTTAAGAGACTTTTTAAGTTCACCCAAAAACATTTCTTTTTATAACATTTTTAAACTACGTAGAAGCGGTATGAGAATATTCATTCCCCTATATCGTCTCGTAGGTGTCGTAACAGTTATAACACAGATAAATTAAAACAGGGATTAATTAAAGCAGAATCTTCGTGGTATCAACTTAAATTTATAAAATACTGTAGTTGCCAACTCGTCTTCTAAGCATGGTAAGTTGTAAGGTGGGGGAATCCCTCCGTATGAGTTGGAGAGGCTTGTGTTCAACAGAGGACTTCTATAGACTGTAGTGAATGGGATGGGTGAAAGAAATTGGGATTGCACCCTTCAATTTTTTTGAGAACTTGGTGAAATTACTTAAACCTTTTTAAAACTTTTGATACGTGGTAGAGCCATGCCGCAGTTATATTAGTAGTATAGTTGTAGCACGAATGGGTCGGCTCGACCGGAGAAGGACCACACTCTCACAGAATACCAGCGTCCAATAGTAGCTTAATGCTGCTATGTTTCGTATGGTGAGTGTAGAGAACCGGAGACCCTTTTTACTGAAAACGAGGCATTCTATCTTAGTCCTCACGGGTGACAACGCATCTGCATTTTGATTCGTAATCGAGGATAGATGTAGATGTCTATGGGCCACAGCAACCACTTAACACCAGGTGCACTATGTGCTCGTTTGTCACCATATCATATTAAAAAAAAAACACATAAAATGTATTGTAAGGGAATAACAAAAATACATAACAAAAGGACTTTAATAGATGTTATAACCAAAAACATGGTCCACGTTGATTGCTTCATTTAAAAATCGCACGCCTTCATTAAAACTCCACGGGAACATCACCAGTCGCTGTTCGAACATTGTTTGCATGGATCGAGCAAAACGAATCAGGGGTAAAACACGACCGTCATTATTTCAAACTTTTTTCGACCGGACCTTTAATGGCCTCGTAGAATGAAAAGCAGTGCGACGCGTATCCGGGCTAATTGATTAATTAATAAGGTCGCCGGGTTGTGAATTTTACACACGGTCAGTTGGAAGTGCGCCAGCAGCACTTGTAATAAAATGCCAGTTTAAAACTTCGCTCGGCGACTCATGACGTTTCATAGGAATTTATTTCAAAATTCTGTTAGAAATTTTCATATATTGTTGTCGTCAATATTAGTTTTTATGATAAAACGATAAACCTACATTGGAAGGATTATTTTTTATAAATGCGATATATTTTATTCAGATTATATATATATTTATTCTATTATATATATATATATATATATATATATATATATATATATATATATATATATATCCGTATTTCAAAATAACAAAACATTGGATAGCGTATAGATTTTTTTTAATTCAACATTTAAAAAGGTAATGTGAGATTCGTACAATAGTTAAAATGGTCCATCATTTTTATTTGTTTAAGAGCTACTTGCGCACTAATCATAACTCCAGGGGTATCGTAAGAAGGCTCCCGACAAACAACTATATACCATTTCCTTTAAATCGGGTGTCAAATAATAAGACAGTGCGTTGTGAGAAATCGTCTGATACTGCAACCGTCATACGTATTTAACAACTTTCCTATAATAGAAGAAGCCTGTTCTCTGTTGTAGAATCTTACGTTATTGCTTTCATTATATTCTATTATCTATAAAATAATGTATTACTAATATTATCTGTAATAATCTTATTAATTATACGAAAGTCTGCAGTTAGAGTAAACTTAATTCATGGTAATAAAATATGATGATTATTTATTTATTTATTATATGGACAACAAAACAGATAACAATCAAGATACATTAAAATTACACACATATATATATATATATATATATATATATATATATATATATATATATATATATATATATATTTGTAACAGTTTTGTGCCAGATTGTTTTCCTAAGTATGTTGACACATCATTTTCATATTTTACTATACGGGAGATCAAATCTACGCTTAACAATATTAACAATATTAATGCCGTACATTACTACATAATACAAAGAAACAAATTTTACAAATATGAGTTTAAATTATACCCAACTTTCAACAGCTAACTGTAAACAATTTAAAAGTTTCTATAAACAGAAGTCAATCTCGCGTGGTATGCGGGAAGGGATTAGTTCGTGACGATTGCGTAAGCAAGATTTTATGGCCCTGTTCAAATTGACAAAACACGACGAGTAAATTACGTGAGATCCTATTAGTTTTAAAGTTATATCCTTAAAGAACTATTAATTATTCTATGGTAAGGATGACACACATAGACACCTATTTTCGATTAAGAATCAAATTGCAGACTATGCGTTGTCACTTGGAATAATTCGTTATTTGTAAAAAGAGTTTCCGGTTCCCGTCACTATATGAAAGAAATCAGCATTATGGTACTGTTTCACAGTGGTGTTTTTTTTTGCAAGCGTGGTTTTTCTCCGGTTGAAGCGTGTGCAACCACTAACCGATGCAGTGTGGTTCTATCACGTAAAACTTTGGTATTTATCTTTTACAAAGTTTTTTTATTACGATTACTAATTTTTTTTAACTAAAAGTAATATTGTACAGTTTTCGAAAATAGTCAAACCTTTCCGAGGTCTTATGGCTACTGAATAGGTTAGTAGGTCAAGTAAACAAACCATGTGAAATCGTGTTCCGCGTCCCGTGCGTGCTTCACTTGAGTTGGAATAAACCTTTGACATTTATAATCTATGGAACTTACATCTGAATGTAAGGGGTTGTTTCTCGATGGTGACGTTGGTGATGCTATGCGAACAGAATTCGAGTCACGATCACTTCCTGAGTTGCCGTTATTACTGCTGCTTGCGTCTGGAAAATTAGGAATTATTTAATGATCTTTATCTTTACATGATAAATTTTCTAAATATTTTAATTACAAGTAAATGTTCTACAAGTAAAACAACTTATTTTCTATAGAATTATGAATTATTTTTCCGAATAGTACTAAAGAACCAGTTTAAACTTAATACCATTAATTAACTACCTTTTGGTTAGGTAGTTAACCTTTTGGTTTTCATTGACAGATTTATTTAATTATATATAATGAGAATAATTAAATAAGTGTCGGTTGTTTATTAATATCGTCTTGATTTTTAATTGAAAAGTTACCATAATTGATGGATGACATCTACTTATTAGGTGGACTGTGGGCTGGTTTATCAACTTTATTTTTATAAAAAATAATACCAAACCAAATTTCACAGATTGTTTATGGTGTGCTGCAAAGTTTACCATGTTACAATAATTTTAATTAAAGGGTTCCCTTTACAGAGAGACATTTGTATGCATGGCCTATATCATGTAGTGGCTTCGTTATAAGTGGCGTTGAATTAAAGCGGGAACGAACATTCGTGATGCCATACTTACGGCAGCTAGTTAACGAAGTCAACGGCCATGATGCGTCACCTCCAAACGAGATGAAGTTTCGCGTGCTTGCAAAGTGCAAGCTTATTTATTTCAGTGAAAAGAAATTGGATTTTACCAAATAACGTGTAGGGACTCTAATTATAAAATGAAATTCAAATCATTTTATCAATCGTTATCAGAAATCGTAATTAAATAAAGCCTTCTTAGAATTTAGAAGTATTTGATGTCATTTTGAAACTCGATTTGGTTACTCGTGGTGGCATAATTATGTTTTATAACAATGAAATGACAAACAAACGCATTTATAATCTACCTGATAGTACTCGTAAGTGGCCCACTACAGTCTCACTTGCCCTGCGTTGTCATCTCTGAGTATCAAGACGGAATGCCTTTACTCGAGTATGTATGCCTTGTATCGGTAATCGAATTGTAGGCTACCTCCCACTAGATGGAGTGGCGACATGGTAAGATAGGCAGCAAGTCTATGGATACAGGTGGCTCGGAAACGTGCTTAGTGGTATTGCTTGGGGTAGGGCCTATACTCAGCAGTGGACTTAAGATGGGCTGTAATAATGATGATGGTGGCGCGAAAAAGTTTTTTCAAAAATATTTTCATTTTTTTTCCATATAATAGCTTATCTATTAAATACCTCTAAACTTTATTTGCGTAATTTATAGTCTTTAAAGGATGCTATCGCAATTTATCGTGTAGTTTCATAGAACATTTTTGTATAATCCGAAGACTATCCTTTTTGGGACGTGTTTGAACTAAACAAAAGTTACTCAACCGTAAAGTAGTAAATAGCTTAAGAGTATAAAGAAAGATCCTCGTTTTACTTACAGGTTGTGAATGTTAAATATATAAGTAATAATATTTTTTTTGTTTTGGCATTCTATTACAAAAATATATTCAAAAATTTCAGTGTTTTGTAGAGAATGTGTTTTCTGGGACCAGTCTCGTATTATACAATGAGGATTTGATCGAAGACTACAAAAACTCAGTACTACGAAATTCTTTCACGGTATGCAAACTGGATTATCAGTAACTATTATCATTTCTCAAGGATTGGAATATGAATCAGTTTTGGGTCAGTGTGGTGTAAACAACGTGTTTAACGTTTAAAAATAACTAAAAACGGAAGTAGAAGGGCCCAGATTTTGAAGAATATAAAACCTCTGAATTTGTATTTTGATAATTGAAGATAAGACTTAAAATGTATGTAGCACATAAACGAAGAAAAGGGCCGGCAAAGTTTCAGTTTAAGTTACCAAACGCAATGCATGATATCCTCATGAAACACTTACTAGAATCCGGTGGTGGTTGGTGGTGATTCTCCGTATGCCGGCGCAGTGAGCGCGCGTCACAGTAAGACTTGCCACAGCCGTCCGCCTTGCACTCGTACGGTTTCTTGTTGCGATGCGTTAGCATGTGACCATTTCTAGGGAATAAAACAAACAAATAATTCCCATTTCTAATTACATTTATAACATTCCATTGATTATTATTTGTTAGCGACGACAAGTGAATTTAATTATTTAATTTCAATTTATTCTTATTTGTGATATAAAACTAAGTGCAATAAAGTTGTTTTGCCTAAAGGGGAGTTCCCACATCTAATATTTGTAATAGACTAAGTTACTGAAAATAAATATTTGAATTTTGAATTTGAATTTTGAAAAGTGTAAAGACTGATAGTGTTAATAACATTAAGTGAATTAATTACTTATACTAGCTTCAATTCTTATTTGCAATCTAAAATTACGTAACGAAAGTTAGTAACGAAAGTAGTAACAAAAGTCTGCAACGAAAATGTGAATCTAATTGCTTATTTAGGTTTATTTAGAATGTTAGAAGCGAGATATAAGTCTAGTTACTTATTAGAACTTTCTCTTATTATAATTTAAAGAGCTGTATTAGAAATATTAACATTTAACTGAATGTATAAAAACATTGTAAGATATGTTTTACCACACATATTAAAGAAATTTGTAAATTTCCTTTAGAAAAGGTCGTTCTGCGCTCTGATTGGTCGACGGGAATCATTAGTGCCGTGTGCAAATTCATTAGGCCTGTGTTATTAATTCTGATTGGTCATAGCTGCCTATAAAAAAGAGGCGTTTTTTGTGGTAAAATATTCCAAATCCGGCAATGTAAGAATAAGGAATCAAGAAAATAAATAAGAAGAAACTCTGAAGAAGTGTTATTTATTGCTCATTTAACTGCAACTGCATGCTCTCCAGTTATCATCCCGCCAGCATAATCTGCTCCATTTACTAACATTCTCACACACGAGCATCTACATTGGTCCTTCGAAAAGCCGGATCGGGTTTAAGGAAAACTAGGAAGATGCCTTCAAATACAAGATCAAAATCAGTGCAGTCGAAGACTACGAGTGAAAGTAACGCTACTACGGGTACCAGTACGACGCATTGCTTCGATTCTACGAGCACGACGGCTACTAACGCGTCAACTTCAGATCGATCGACGCTTACATCGCGCATCGCCCAGCAGCGTACACAGACAACCGTACTTCTTAATAAGAACATTGCCGGAAAGGAATCAACACCGGGGGACGTAACCCATACCACTCCCCCCGACCCGAACCATCGAAGCGTCAGTTCCTCACCAAGAAGAGAGTCATCCAACGCCGCAGATTCAAGAAAGAAGTATCGCAGTGAAGACATGTCTGAACGAGGGAAGCATACCAACGTCCAGAGAAAAGAGTCTGCAGCAGCCTCACCCTAAGAAGACGACCCGCGATCCAGACACGCTTTCCGTTCGCTCGTCGCATAGGAAGAGAGCAGAAGCGCAAGCAAAAATGACAATGGCATTAAGGGAACTAGAATTGGCAGAAGCTCGGTCAAAAGTTGCTCAAGCGGAATTAGAACTTCTCACCGCGGAGTCAGAAGAGGAAGATGGTGCCGGAGAAGAGCTGTTCGAACGAACTCGAGAAGTCGAGCGGTGGTTCATCCAGACCAGAGACATGCCTAATAGGAACCACAAACCAATAGAGGCAGAAGAAAAGAAGAGTGACATCCAGGAACTAGCTTCAGTCATACTAAAGTTATCCGAAAAGTCACGTGACACCATTTCACTGAAGCACCTCGAACTCCCTCACTTCAACGGGGCCTGTGAAGAATGGTTGGCCTTCAAAAGATCATACGAGGATATGGCCGTTTCTTTCAGTAACAATCAGAACCTAGCGCGCCTTAGAATAGCAATCCAAGGAAAAGCTAGAGAAGCCGTCCAAAGCCTGCTGTTCACCGCCGAAGACCCACGCGTAGTAATCAAGGAACTAGAAGCAAGATTCGGAAGACCTGGAGCACTGGCATTAGCAGAACTAGAAAAAATGAAGAACCTCCCAAGAGTCGGCGAGAACCCAAGCGACATATGCATATTTGCGAGGAAAGTAAAGAACGCAGTTGAGACAATCAAAGCCCTGAAGAAACCACAGTATCTCAGTTCACCTGAAACACTGAGAGTTATAGTAGACAAAATGCCGATGTTTGATCATCAATGAAGTTTCGTTGGTTCGCCTACCACACAAGCAGAAGAGATGAGGAAATTCAGGAGCTATTACTCGTCGAAGCGTTCCTAGAAACAGAAGCCGACATGTGCGGAGACTTCGCTCCACCTGAAGCATCCTCAGAACAAAGTAGAGGAATACGAAAACCAGTCCATTTGGTACAAGAAGCGTCAAAAGAAAAATATAAGAAGTCATGTCCGTTCTGTGAAGAAGAACACTTCGCATTAGAATGCAAGAAGTTCAAAGAAGCTAACCTGAATGAAAAATGGGATATGACCAAGAAGTAAAAGATATGCTTCAAGTGCCTTCGATTCAAGCACTTAAGGATCAACTGTAAAGCACCAGTCTGCAAGCTGTGTAAAAGATGGCATCATACCATCTTACATTCTGACAAACCACCAGCACCAATAGAAAGAGAAGCAAGGGAAAAGACATCAGTAGCACGTCAGAAGAAAAGGTCGCCTCAATTCACAACGCCAAAGGAGAAGAAAAGGCCTACCTGAAGATGATCCCAGTAAACCTCTATGGCCCAAAAGGACAACTTCACGTGTTAGCGTTATTAGACGAAGGGTCGACGGTCACACTCTTAGACGCGTCAATCGCTGAGAAGATCGGAGTCGAAGGGAAACAAGAAAAACTTACGATCGAAACAGTCGGCGGGAAGGTGTTGAGAAAAGATAGTTCACAGAAGATCGAGTTCAAAATAAAAGGGGCTCATAGAAGAGAAAAGAGGACTATCGTAGCAAGAACCATCGACGACCTGAAGCTGAACAATATATAAACAAGGACACCGTGAGAAACTGCGAGCATCTAAAGGCAATTGAAAGCCACTCCTCTATGTCACCGAAAGACCCAAGCTACTGATAGACCAAGATAATTGGGGACTAATAGTAACAAGAAAGCTGAAGAAGGGCAAACCGTCAGATCCTGTAGCCTCCCTCGCAAACTTAGGGTGGGTGTTACACGTATGTGAAACAGGAGCAACTGCCACAGTAAACTTCACTCATTATGGCAGAGCGACCACTGGCGAAGAAAATATAGAAGAAATCGTCCGAGAACACTTTCAGTTGGAATCTCTCGGAATCCAGAATCGGTCATCAACCAACGACAGCGATAGAAGAGCATTAGGAACCCTTGAGAAGACTACAAAGAAACTGCCAAGCGGTCAATATGAAACGGGACTCCTGTGGAAAAAAGAAGACGAAACCCTACCCAACAATTATAATCAAGCAGTTCGAGGCCTGGTCAACATCGAGAAGAAATTAGATCAAGACCAAGAAGCAAGAAAGCATTACGAGGAGCAGATCCTGAGTCTAATTGAGAAGGGATACGCAGAGATAGCTCCAGAAACCTCCAACAAAGGAAAAACATTCTACTTACCCCACTTCGCTGTTGTACACCCAGTTAAGAAGAAGCTGAGAATGGTGTTCGACGCAGCTGCCAAGTATGAAGGGAAGAGCCTCAACGACGCCTTGCTCTCGGGCCCAGACCTGTTACAGTCACTATTTGGAGTACTGTTGCACTTCAGAGAGGGACCAGTGGCCGCCATGGCCGACATACAAGATATGTTCCTCCGAGTCAAAGTTAGAGAGGACGACCGAGACAGTCTCAGGTTCCTGTGGCGTGGAAGCCGAAGAACTGGCAAGCCTGAAGAGTATAGAATGTCTTCAATCATCTTTGGGGCAGCGTCATCGCCGGCAACAGCGATATACGTAATGAACAAGAACGCAGAAGAATTTAAGAACACTCATCCCGAAGCAGTGAAAGCAATTAAAAGAAACCATTACATGGACGACTATCTACAGAGCTTCGCGTCTACAACTGAAGCAAAGAAGATATCAAAAGAAGTGAAAGATATTCACGCAAGAGCAAACTTTCATCTGAAGGGTTGGGCCAGTAACAATTCAGGGGTACTATCAGAAGTAGAAGACACCAATAAAGAGAACTGCTTGCAACTGACAAAGGAAGAAAAGAATCTGGGGCTAAGATGGCTAGTAAAAGAAGATGCATTAGCTTTACGTTGGGCGTCGGGCGGTTTGGCTAACGTCGGGCTACGCAACACGTCGGAGGATCTGCAAGATGGCAGAAGAACTCCAACAAAGAGAGAAGCCACGAGCGCAGTGATGTCCACCTTCGATCCAAGGGGTTTTGCAACACCGGTTCTAATACAAGGAAAGAAACTAATCCAAGACATCTGGCGAAAGAAGATAGACTGGGATGAACCAATTAACGAACAACAAAAGGAAGCCTGGATGAAATACTTAGAGGAAGTATCAACATTAACAAGGCTGAAGATCCCAAGATGCGTCTCACCCAAAGGCAGAAAAGTACAGTTACATACATTCACCGATGCGAGTGAAGAAGCCTATGCAGCAGTAGTCTACTGGAGAATAGTCGAGCCCGGAGGAAAAATCCATGTCTCCATGATCGCCGGCAAAGCAAGGGTAACACCGACGAAACCAGTATCAATTCCGAGGTTAGCGGCTTTACTCGGAAGCAGACTAGCCGCTACAATTGAAGAGGAGTCAGAGCTCGAAATATCAAAAAAGATTTACTGGACCGACTCCAGCACAGTACTGCAGTGGATAAAGTCAGAACCAAGAAAATTCAAAACTTTCGTGGCCAACCGACTCGCTGAGATCGAAGAGAAGTCCAAGCCAGAAGACTGGAGATGGGTACCAACTAAGGAGAACCCAGCAGACGACGCCACGAGGGGAACCCCAATCGAATTCGACCATAACGCCAGATGGTTCAAAGGCCCGTCATTTCTCCGTCAACCAAAAGAAGAATGGCCGTTTCACGACTTCAAACCAGAGAGTATTATGCCAGAAATAAAGCACAAACAGAAGGTGTTGGCAACGATGGCAGCTGAAGACATCCTTTTAAATCCGGAAAGGTTCTCGAGCTGGGAG